TCTTCTTCTTCTTCTTCTTCTTCTTCTTCTTCTTCTTCTTCTTCTTCATATGTTACTTAATTAATAATGTGTCTTTTAAAAAAGATACTTTGTGAGAAACAATGTAGACATAAAGAAGAGAAGCTCATTCAGTAAGGCTTGCATAATAGCTACTATACTGAAAAGGTCTGAAACTTTGCTGATCTGCATAAGATATACCAATTTAGCTACAGTTTTGCATCTAATCTACGATAAATTGTTAGAGAAAACATGAAAGAGTTTGTGTTTACTTATTGGCAATGAAGAAATTGGATACTTACATTCTAAGGCATGATAAAGTAATTCAAAATCATCCTTTGTTTTGGGATGCATTCTTCGATTGTACTCCCTTAGCATTTTTTCTTCCCTCTCTCTCTGTTTTCTTAGTTCTTCTTGCCTTTCCCATTCCAGTCTCAGTCTTAATTCTTCTTTTAGTTTGTTTACCCATTGAATAGCTAGCCATCGTCGACAATAGGTTTGGATTACAATGGTCTATACATAGGGAGAAGGAACAAAGGGCAATTGGTGTTTGTAGACAGTATAAAGTTCTATAATATTTCTAAAAAAAATGATTCTGTCAATCAAGCAGTTCATGTCACATTAGCAAATTTTAAGTATTTTTCTCTAGAAAGAGTCTTAACCACTAGCAATATCTGAATGGCCACCAGGCAAAGTGTTGGGTTGTCATGCAATATGCTTCAAGAGTTAAATTCATTACTTTAGAAAATCTTCAACTCAATCTTTGATGTAAACTATGATTCAAAAATATCAAAATTGCTCTCCCATTATCTAGCACTGGAAAAACAGATATTTAATGGTGCTTAAATTTTTCTTCATTTTTATAAGAAGGGGATAACCATTCATAAAAGTTAAAACAATAAGAGGAAATGCAGCACGCCAAAGTTCATAAAAATCTGTTCGGAATATTTAAAATTGTCAGCGTCTTAATGTTCATAAGCTTGCTTCTTCTGTGAAGTTTTCTTGCTAAACTAGGTAATGCTGCCTCTAATTCATCCTTAACATATATTGTTCCTTAAAATTTTACAACTTCCTTGCATTCATCCAAAAAGAAAAAAGAAACTTACAATGAAGCTATATAGCAACAGCACTTAGACTTATATATCACTTCATAGTTCTTTACAGTCCTCTCTAAGCAGTTTACAGAGTCAGCATATTGACTCCAAAATTCCTCATTTTACCCACCTAGGAAGGATGGAAGGCTGAGTCAACTTTGAGCCTGGTGAGATTCGATTTGCCAATTTGCAGGCAACTGGCTGCAGTAGAAGTAGCTTGCAGTACTGGACTCTAACCACTGCACCACTGAGGCACTTATATTCTATGATCGGTGAACAACAGATGATCCTGCTCACACCCACCCCAATCTTTTAACTGGGCTACAGTGTTTGGCTTTTTGTATTAACTTATTTATATTTTTAGTTTAAATAGTTTTTACCTTTTATGACTGTAAAGCTACCCAGAGTTACTCAGAGGTAAGATGGAAGGCCTATAAATTTCATAAATAAATATTATCAAAATAGGGTAAAAATTGGGGTTTGCGTTTTCAGACTACACTCTTTTACAATCTGCAGAGCTCATTCTGATTTGAGAATGGATGACTGTATTAAGCAACTAAGAGTTAAAACAACAACATTGTCCTCTCCTTTTTTGGCATAGCCGGTATGGCTTCACCCAATTATCAACTTGGATCCAGAACCCTGAAGGTTTTTGAATCAAAACAGGAAGTTATGGATCCAATCCCTTGGGTAAGGTAAAATCTATCCCAACTTGTCTCTGATTTGGGTGTCATCCTGAGCCAGAACATGATAGTCACTAGATTTGGGAAATGGGGGCGGGGGGGGGGGGGGAACCCACTGCTATTTTTTAAATTAATTCTCAACTCTGTGAAAACTTTGTTACAATCTGATCTTTAATACAACCTCTACTATGTTCAGTGTCACTTAATTTGTGCAGGTTTAAGGAGGGGACACTGGAAATGCTTGTATGTTTGAACTTCTTTTTTATATACTCCAGTGAAATTATATTTTGTGCTCAGTTCCCCATTGCAGGGTGAAAGAAATTTTTTTGTTATACAGTATATGTGAATGCCTTTTGTGCTGAAGTATAACATCTGCAGCGTAAGAGATCCTGAATGGCATCATCTTAACTGATAAGTATCTCACTAACACAAAAGAGATGAAAATAAATATTTCAGAGGTAGAAAATGTGAAATAAATTTAACTCTATCATAATGTTATAGAAAAGATTTTGAGCATACCCTTATTACCAGTACTTTAATCTTATGGAATACTAAAAATAAACGCTAAAGTACCAGTAATTCATAGACCACTTTAAGAATCAGTGAAAGATTGAGATGCTCTGCTAGGAAAACAAACAAAAATATCAGTTGTTTTAATTGAGCTTTGCATATTCTTTAACAAATAAAATTATCCATATATGGTGATCCTATAGGGGCTCTGTCACCCGTCATTGCAAACCCGTTCATGGAAGAATTCGAATCCAGAGCCTTAGCCAATGCCACTCACAAACCCAAACTATGGTTAAGATACATCGATGACACATTTGTTATTTGGCCCCATGGAAAAGAAAACCTAAACAATTTCCTAACACACCTAAAGAGCACACACCCCCAAATCAAATTCACCATGGAAACGGAAACAAACAACTACCATTCCTAGATGTACTAATCTACAAAAAAACAGATGGCACACTAGGACACACCATATACCAGAAGAAAACACACACCAACCACTACCTCAACATCCAATCCCACTACCACCCAGCACAGATAAACTCTGTGGCCAAAACACTAATTGCTAGAACCAAATGCCTGGCAGACAAGACACACATAAAGACTGAACTAGGCACCCTGACTAAAGTACTAATAGCCAACGGCTTCCCCAAAAGCAAAATCATTGGCTTGATCCACAAAAACACACTGAGACATAATGGAGACCTAGAAGATGAACAGACCTAGGGAACAGCTGTCCTGCCCTACATAAGAGATACTACAGACAAAATCAGTAAGATACTACACAGTATGATTTTGTCTGTAGACTGCCTTCAAAACAGACAGAAAAATAGCAGCCATCCTAAGAAACCCCAAAGATAAAACTGACCTGGAAAACCAAGGCATATATGAAGTCCCCTGTGCATCATGCCCTGCCACATACATTGGACAGACCAATAGAAGAATAAGTACCCGCCTAGATGAACACAAAAATGCAGCAAAAAAGCTGGAACACACTTCCTCACTAGTCCAACACATGAAAGCCACAGGTCATAGCATTGATTTCAATGCACCAAAATCCTAGCCACTATAGAAAACCCCAGCTACAGAATTATCAGAGAAGCCATAGAGATTGAAAAAAGACCTGAAAGCATGAATAGAAGAGATGACTCCATCAGACTGTCAATTATTTGAAAGCCTGCACTCTCAAACAAAAAAATCTCCACACCACAAGCCAGGCAAACACCTGGGCATAAACAGACTCCACCTGATACCTCCAGCTCAAACACACCCCAACCAGGCACCCAGATGAAACCTAGCTTCCTAATAAATGATAGCCGTCCATTTACTTGGAGCCAAGCCACACTAAAAGCCCCCAATACAGGAAACACAATGTTGCCAGCCAATCAAGACGAAAAAAGCTACAAATCAGACAGAAGATATTAGAAACACCAATCAAGCAGAACACAGCAAACTCCAAGACCAATAAACACAGACCAAGACTCCCAACCAATCAAGATGAAGAAAAACCATTCTGGCACAGCAGCAGGCTAGCCCCAAATTTAAAACAGAAACGGATGTGAAAGTCTGACTCACAGACGAACACTATACAGAAGCCTGATGATGGCAGATGAGATTCTGCCGAAACGTTGCTACAACTTTAAAAGCACAACTATGACGACGTGGGAAAATACCCGAACAAAGCTGAATACCATATATATTTATATCTTTATACACACACACACACACACACACACACACACACTTTCAAATGTAGCTCGCTACTTCTCTTTTTTAGAATATCTAAACAAAAGATGAATGTATTGCCTAGAATTTTATATTTATTCCAGACAATTCCAATTAGATTAGGGAAGAGTTTTTTGAAGACCTAAATAAAATAGTGTTAAAATGCATTTGGCAGGAAAAGAAAGCAAGAATAAAACTTAAACTGTTACAAGATGCAAGAATAAGAGGAGGATTCACTTTGCCCAATTGGGAATTATATTATCAGGTGATAAACTTGATGTGAGCAAAGGACTGGATAACATTAAGGAACAGAAGATTATTGACCCTAGAAGGACATGACTTGCTGTTGGGATGGCATGCTTTCCTCTGGTATAACAGAACTAAAACACAGGAGTATTTTAGAAGATATTATATTCGAGAGGTATTGTTTTTAAACTGGGAGAAGATAAAAAAAAAGCAATATTATTTAAAAATTCCATTATGGATATCTACTACCAAAGCTTTTTCTTATGCAATAACATATAAAAAGGAACAAACACTTAGATATGGTGAGGTACTGAATGAAAAGGATGAATTTAAATCTATGCAAGCGTTGGAAGAACAAGGTATAAAAATGAATTGATTTTCATATGTACAAATACAATCTAGATTTGATAAAGATCTTAAAACACAAGGTTTCTATGATAAGTTGACTGATTTAGATAAAATGTTGATGGGTACTGATGAAAAGGCAATTTAAAAACTCTATGGACATTTATTATAATTTAAATTAGAGGAAGAACAAGTTAAAGAAACGATGATTGCTTGGGGGGAAAATTTTGGATATGGGATTAATTTAGAGAAATGGTAAAAATTGTAGTCTCAAAATTATAAAATGACAATGGCAACTGCCTATAAAGAAAATTTGTATAAGATGTTTTACAGGTGGCATTTACCTCTGACGAGAATTGCGAGAATTTTTAAGAACAAATCAGGTAAATGTTGGAAATGTCATCAGATACCTGGTTCATATTACCATATGTGGTGGACATGTTCAGATGCAAAAAGATATTGGACTATAATCCACACATAGTTGGAAAAATGACAAAACAACACAAAGACTTTAAACACAAAGACTATTTTTACTGGGAATTATACTGGAAATATACAATAAAGAATTGAAATATTTGATTGTAAATGTTTTAACAGTGGCTAGAATTATATTTGCTAAGAATTAGAAAAATGAAGAAATACCTATGCAGGAGGAAGTGGTTAAGAAAATTATGGACTGTGCTGAAATGAGTAAATTGACATTTGAAATCAGAGAACAAGAAGATAAACAATTTTATATGATATGGGACTTATTTTATCAATGGTTAGATAAAAAGACATGGTAATGAAACAGACTAAGTTTTGTAATAAAAGATCAATAGACTGATATAGAATATAATACAAAATATATAACCATTGGATAAATGTATAATATAAATTTATAACAAAATCAAGAATATCTCCTATAAAATGATGGAATAATAGTTTAGTCAAATGAACGATTAATAACTGATAAACATATAAGCATATACTAAATTGACAATTTAAGAACTTATATAACTTGTGAGTAAGGACTATGAAAGGATAGCACAAAATATTTGTAACCAACTGACACACTGTATGTATATAATTGGAAGATGGTTTGATGTTTTTTATGTCTTTGTCTGTATATGTTTGTTTTAAAAAATAAGTCTTTTTTTTTTAAAAAAAGAATACCTAAACAAAAAATATGTATTAAAAGGAATACTTGTTTTGAAATGCAAGATCCAAATTTCATACATTAAGTTGCACATGTCTGAAACACACGGCAATCTCAAAGACACAGATACACAGAAATACTCAGGGGAAGGAATGATACATCAAACTGCGGGAAAGTAGGAGGCATACTGTTCCTTTAACCAACCCACATAACTTGCTTAACTAATTAATGTAGTTTGGACTTATTTAGAACTAAGCTATTTGTAAGAACATTTCAAGTGAAATAAAATGGAGTCCTTGTAGAGTCAGTGATACATGAATGCGATTAAAATAAATTGGGGAGATACATCCATAAACCCAATTTAGATCATGGGCTTTAATCACAGGAAAGTATGCAAAATTGTAATCTTTTTTTAATGATAATAATTCAGTTGACTGTATACTTACCGCCTTAAGTCGTCGTGCATGATATTCGTCAGCTGTCACATATGGCTTTGGTTCTATAAGCTTATCAGTAACATTTGAGACATAAACACCAATTTTTGTCATTTGTGTACAAGTTGTATTTGTGGTCTGTTGCAATTTTTTTCTTTCTACTGCTGTCTAGAATAAAATATTAAGGTTAAGAAGGTTAAGCATTCTCTGTATAAATAAAATTGAATTAAAAACTAATGTATGAATATATTAACAAACATATAGAATTATAGAACGGAATTATTTAACTTCTAAATTATTTAACTTCTAAATTATTTAACTTAATTTAATTATTCTAAATTATTTAACTTCCAAATGAGTTTTTCTGGCATGTATCTCAGGGTCTTCATTCTTTATGAACATACCTGGACTGACCTACTTCTTTGTATTCTATATATAAAATTAATTAAAGTAATCAAAAGCTAATCTATGAATGCAATAAAATACGTAGAATGAAAGAATTAAATTATCTAATTATTAGTTTCTAATATACAGAAATAGATTTAATTTCCAAATCAATTTTTCTTGCACACATCTCAGCGTCTTCGTTCTTTCTGAACATACCTGTGTTGACCTACAGAACTCTTCATATTCTTTGTCCGAACGTTTTTTGGGATCTGTCTGTGATCCTGCATTATGATATTCTATGCCTGTTTCTTTATGTCTAAATCCACCCAAGAATGGTTTTTCAAATGATGGTCTTTTAATTTCTATACATACATCCTGAAAAATGTCTGGCTCTGTTCAAAAAAAGAGCATTATTAAATTAGACTCAACACTGGATAACGTTTAATCAGGCTATACATCTGATTGTTCATTACCTGTTTGAACTCGAACTGTTATAACATCGGGCATATAGTATTCTTCCAGAAGTTTGTATGCTTTGAGTGGAAAGTTTTCACCGTCTAATGAGTACATATCAAACTGTATTGTCCCATTAGGTTGCACACCAAGATTCCAGAGGGTTTCATAATTTTCAATTACTCTCCCTAAAAAGAAAAAAAAATAGGTTTCACAATGAGTTAAGAGATCACTTACCTTTGTTTCCTTGATCATTTGAGGAATGTGACAAATCCCAAGTAAGGAAGGAAAGAGTAAGGAATGCCATTCTATGTAAGGCAACTTTCAGCCTTCTCAAGTAGATAGACAGGAATCACAACCAAGTGAGCTAATTTTATTTTACTGTAAGGCTGCATAAGGAGACTCTTGCAAGTCAGATAATACAAACTTCCTAACATTTCTTTTACAGTCTGAAAAGTTAGGCAAGGTCCTAAGGTCTTTGCCCATTATGCAACTGTAGGGATGTCTTCAGTCCTCCCTCCCAGGGTGATACTATTACAGCAACTAAAATTATTTAAAAATTACAAATATTTCCTTGTCCACCTCTTCCAGAAATACCTGTTATAAAATAGCCTGGGGATTCTGTAAGAAGGAATGGGCTGTGAATAACAGCATAATTATACAGTGATGGCAGATCTCAATACGAGAATAGTAGCTGAAGGCCAAAATCAGTATTTCACTGCTCATTTAATGGCTACCTTGATTAGCAACTGTTTGCAAATTCAACAATATTTTTTAAATACCATTTTCTGACCAATGCACACATTTAGGACCAAATTTTGGGTGACTGACAAAAAAAAGTCTTCATTGTGAATTGGATTAAGATCTGATAAATTTCAGACAGCAGTGCCAGCAGGTCAGAGGTTGATCAACTAATTAAGGCCACAGAGTTGAGACGGTTAACTTGCAGCTAGCACTTACAATAGGTTAGCGCTATGGAGAAAACAGCAGAAAGCAGAAAAAATATTGTTTACTTTAAGCAATTTCTCTGCCCTGTAATGGGACAAAAATGGGAAGAAAATGGGTCAGACATCGGATACTCTGGAAGAGATCTTTATTTAAATTAAACAACAGCAACCAGTGGTCTTCACAGTCCCTCTCTCTCTCTCTCTCTCTTTCATTTTCTACTTAAGGGATGTATTGTGATCATTAAATGAAAACAGGGTGCACAACGATTTTGGGGGTTTTCAGTACATTATATTCAGTTTGTACAAGGCCCAATTGGTGCTTGCATGTTTGTAAACTAAAGGATATTTTTTTATGTACACATGGATTTCTGTTGTTATTTAACCAATAAATAATTGCTTCTTTAAATGTTACAAACCATATTTAGAATTCTGTCTATATTTATATACATGAAAAAACCAGAAACCCCTTGTATTGATACAAACCTAGCAGCCCAATTTGTAAAAGATCCAGTGGTATTTTTAATCGCTTTGCAAAGTACTGCTTGATTTGCTCCACATTTTGATTAATGTTAAAAAACTTCGTGAAAATCTGGATATCAGGATGCAGCATGAATTTAACTGAAAAATAAATACATCAGTCCTTATTATGGTTCTTCATTAATTTCATCATTAGTTTCTAGTAAATTAGTAAGAATTAAAGTTTGCTTGTGCATATTGTTCAAAACAATTAAAATCAATCATTTGTTAAAGCAAAAAATTAAGTAATATTTATTTAATATGCAGTTATATGATGCCAATAAACTCTGGGTGATAAGCATAACACCAAACTAAATAGAAAAATGACAAAAATAGTGAAAGCAAAAAATAAACATTTCTTAATCAAGCAAACCAAAGGCAGACTAACCTCCCCATAAGATTAACATCCTAAAGTGTGAGAAAAAAAAGCAAGTTTTCAAAGACTTCTGAAAAACTAACAAGATGAGAGCAGTCCTAACCACAGGGAAAAACTATTCAGTATCGCAGGAGCCATAACAGAGAATGTATATTTTTTTCTGGGTTCCATAAGATGACACTGTTTCATAGAAGAGGCCTGGAAAATGCCTATTGTGTTGGATTAAATAGGATGAATTGAAACTATTTGAAACAGATAATTCCTGAAGTATCCTCAAGCAAATTGAAAGTAACTTGCTCCTGGACAAATTGCTACTCTATAAATGTCCAGAAAAAGAAGCATTTTTAAGCTGTCATACTGTTTTTTGGAGAGACCTTCAAAATTTATGCAGCCACATCAGAACTCCTTAGAGTTGTAATGATTGAAGCTGCAAAAAAGCTATAGAAGCAAATAAAATAAACTACTCATCCACCTTTTTTGCTAGGTAAATGGATATTAGCTGTGTTCTATAAACAACTGGAATAGCTAAAAAGGAGTTTCTGTAGTTCTAAAGTATTTATATTAATGAAGCCGATAAGGATATGCAATAATTACATATCTGAACAGGAGCCAAGAGATATGGAATTAAATATCACCTGACATTAGAATTACTAGATGACATGGGTCCAGTGATTCACTCTCAACGTCAAGTAAATCTAAAACTATTATTTGGACAAAATAATGATGAAAGAAAAGTGAATTTCTTGGAATAAAATGGTATCAAATTGTTTTATACTGTATCTCATTAGCATATTATAACAGTCCATCTTTTCAGAAAATGTTATTAAAATAGTGAGAATTAATCAGTCATTATAAAACCATGAGATGTGGAAAATATTATTTCTGTAGCATAAAGGAAGAATTATTTACAAATATTTTTCCCAAGCTAGTATCCTCTAAATCAGTGTTCTCAAACTCCCAGCCTGTGGGTCGGATGCGTCATGCACTGGCCATGCCCCACGCCTGGTTTAGCAAAGGGAAAAAAGTCCCAATACATCATGTGACGACACCGTGACGTGAGTTTGACACCCGTGCTCTAAATTGTTCAGCCTGTAATTGCCTGAATTTCCAGTGAGAAATTTGAGATGAGTTGGGGAAGACTGACTATTGATCGAACATAATATATACCTGTTACGATAGCATTTTTTATCATTTCTGAAAGCTGATCTGCCAAATTTGCCATGTTTATGCCTTCTGGAACAACAGCTGCTAAATCAGGAGGCTGCTCAGAAACACCTTCACTGTCACCGGTACTTTCCAACTCCAATGCCAATTCTTCAGCAACAATCCCACCCCCAACTAGCTCTTCCTCTCTGTCTCGTTCCATGTCTATGGTTTGATCTTCTTCAGCATCTGTCCTCTGCAACTGCTCCTCAGCAACACCTGGTTCCTGGCTAATGTCCAGGTTCTCAAATGCATCTGGCTCTTGTACATGTTCTATAGGAGCATCCTGCTCTTGTATTGATTCCTTAGCAATACCCAATTCTTGAGTTGTTGAATCTAGGTTGTATTCCTGCTTTGAAGGTAGACTTAGTTCACTCAAGGGTATGGTATCTGTTTGCTCCTTGTTAACATCTGCAACATCTGTAATTTCTTCTGTTTGTTTTTCTGGAGAAGTGTCTTCCATATCTGCTTCAGCCAGATCAATTACCTCTTTTTCTGAATCAGCCATTTGCCTGAAAGGAGTAATATAAAAAGCAAAATGTGCAGGAAATGAGATTTCAAATTTAAGCAAATTGTCAGTATGCAGTCTCAATTGACTGTCCTCATGTTTTATACAGACTATAAAACTAGTTGTAACTAAAAAAAAAACCCAACCCTTAACACTAAACACATCTCAACTTTGCCATTTTAACTAAGGACTTGCACATTTAAAGTTCAATATCACATTTTAACCACTTGAAATAAAACTGATAATGCCTGCAACATATTGCCTTCAAAATATAATGGTCTGCAAATGGTGTCCAGCTAACATTCACAAGAGCTCAGCTTTTCTAGAGATTATCAGCTTCGAAAACATTGATTCAGAGGTGGTATTCAGCAGGTTCTGATCAGTTCTGGAGAACCGGTAGCGGAAATTTTGAGTAGTTCGGAAAACCAGCAAATACCACTTCTGACTGCCCCGCCCCCATCTATTCTCTGCCTCCCAAGTCCCAGCTGATCAGCTGGGCCTTTTTTTTTTGCCCTGCACAGGAGAATGGAGCTGGAAAGCAGGTTAGTGGGGTGGGGAGGGAATGGGGATTTTGCAGTAACTTTCCCCTGCCATGCCCACCAAGCCACGGCCACAGAACCTGTAGTAAAAAAATTTGAATCCCACCACTGTACTGATTTATAACTCTATCTATGTGCATGGTTTTCTTTCTTGCTCATTTCTTGTTTTTACTCCAACATTGTCTTATATTAGAAACAAAAAGCACAAAAGATACAATATAATCAGTTCTTTTTAAACCCATTTTTTAATAAATAGTATCTATAGTATACATGCATACATACATACATAATGTATATATATGTTTTTGTAGATTTTCACAGGTACAAGTATGTAGGCCTAGGTGTGTTCAGGTCTTTTCCCGTGTAAGATAATCTTACATGGGAAAAGACCCGAACACACCTAGACCTACATATGTATGTATGTATGTATGTATGTATGTATATGTATATGTATATGTATATGTATATGTATATGTATATGTATATATATATATATTTCTAAAATTTATATTCAAATTTTACAGTAATATCTCCTTTGAATTCTAGTGTCATATAGAAATGGCTTAAATTGGTTATAGTAATACATTCTCCCACCAATCCTGATTGCATTTTTATTTTTTTTCTTTTGTTTGTTGAATATATATAGCTACCAATTTCACATACATGACTCAGTTTACCTTTTTAACAATTCAGGTAAAAATAAACAAACAGAAATAAGTAAGCAAAACAAGAAAGCCATTAAAACCAATAAAACTAAAAAAACTTCTGTGTGCAAGAGCGTACAATCCATATCTGACATGCAACACAACTACTGGTAATTCACAGGCCCTTGGCAGAGACATATCCAAAGAGCTATATCTAAAGAGGATCAGGGCCGGTTGGGAGGGCAGGTTCCAAAGAGCAGATGTCTTGTTTTTGTTTTTAAACAAGTGCTAAATATTACCTTTTCTACAATTTGAAAATATGTATATTTGTCTGAAAATCCTAAACAAGATTCAAGAGAAATTACCTAGTTACAGCACAGTGATGATGATGATATAAATAACAGTGAATCTTTAAATACTATTTATCAGTCCTGCATTGTAGAGAATGCAATTCAGAATGGGAGCTGTAAAGTTGACCATGGACATATCATTGAGAAGAAGTAAAAAAAACAACCACCACCCATGGTGATGATTCTGCTTGGGATCTTCCCTCTAGTGCCAGTTCAGTGCCCAAATCAATTTTTTCGATCTTGTGATGTGAAAATGAAACGTCCCATCACTCTCAATATCTATTCTGCATGTTCCTTTATTAATTCAAAGGTAAGCCTATTTTGATATTTTAAGATGTTATGCTGATTTAAAGAACATGGATAACTAAAAGGATACACTAGTCCCATCATGGCAAACCTATGATACGCGGGCCAGAGGTGGCATGCAAAGCCCTCTCTGTAGGCACATGAGCCATCACCTCAGCTCAGCTATGCTGTGCATGTGCCTCCCACTGGCCAGCTGGTCTTTGGGTCTCTGCTGCGCATGCGCGGGGGTGTATGTACAGGGGGGGGGTGCATGCACAGGGGATGCACAGACATTGCATTTTGGGGATGTGCATTCATGCTTTGAGCATTCAGTGCTGAAAAGGTTAGCCGTCACTGCACTAGTCCAACTATGCTTCTCATCTTAAATAAAGCTTTTTGAGAGGCTACTAAAAGAATGGATTCCAACAGACACCCTTCTGCTCCTGACTACTGTGAGGGTTTCTTATAGATCCTTTCATGCCCACAAAACTACCAGATCTAGATTACTAGCAGATGGTGGATACAGAAGGCTTTTCTTCTCACTTTTTGGCTCATCCAAAAGTTTTTGTCACTAAGTTTCACACACTAATCATTTACTTACTGGCTGTGTTGTATTTTTGTTCCTCCCAAATGGTTTACAGGTAGAGTTATCAATCAATGGTTGACAGTTACTTCTGCAAATTTATGTTCCCACCCACACTGTGATCACACCAATCAATTACATCTGCAGTGGGCAAAGTATTTTGGATGTGAAATTTTCATAGTTTGAACGGAAGAAAAGAAAAGAAACAATAGCCAATACAGACTGATTTACTTATCTGAACATCCAAATTTTTGCATTCCCAACTCTGGTAGTCCTACCCAAATTAAGGGGGGGGGGAGGGGGAGGGAAAGAAGAGCGTTGCGTTTTTTTCTTTTCAATATTATCTTTATTGAAGTTTTAAACAAATGCAAATCTAGTAAGAACAAGAATAGCCAATCAAATTCCACTTTTATTGAGTTCAACTCTTACAGAGTTACAAGAAACTAATCGCAGAATTATAAATCTCTTACAAATCAAAAAGGGAAAAAAAGAACTGACAGACTACAGAAGAAATCAAAAATAACACAGGAAATTATGAACAAGAGGGAAAAAAGCCAAGTGTACGATTATACAATACAGTTAAAACGCTGAGACCGCAAAGCACTAATATTACATTCATGCAAGTCGTTGCACGAATGAAAGTATCGCTTCCTGCGCCTCTCCCGGTGCCACTACGGTACTTAGACTACAATTCCCAGAATGCCACACTAACTCATATCAGTTTTCAAGGGAAGCCCCCACCTTCTCAGCGGCTGATTACCATCCCAAAAGTCTTTGCGCTGCTGTCGCCATTGTCGAGCGCTTTAAACCGCGTCCCTACGAAAAGCATGTTGGGAATTATAGTCCTGATAAATAAATCATGCGCTATTTGGTCGCTGTTTCTCTTTTAAGCATAATTCCGTCTCAGTGGCTACTCCTCTCTCAAAAATCTCTATTGATCAAATAAAAATAAAGTCGAGCCGGGTTTTACCTCAACGCAAGTTTCCCCGGAGTGATCCGTTGCCGATCTTAATTCTAAGACAACAGCATTATGTATCTATAGCAACCACGGCGTAGTAGATTCTCGCGAGAGCTCAGGTTCCAGAAGACTTTGTTAAAAAAAAAAAAATGCCTGTGAAGTCCGATGAGGCCACGTGACCTCTTACAGGCTGGCTTGAAACCCTTTTCCATTGTTAAAGGGAGCGGAGGTTTATTGTCAAGAATTGATTTTGTATTTAAATCGCATCTTATTGGGCTGCATTTGAGCAAAGTAGTGTTAAAATGTCGGCTAGTAACGCGACCTCGCCAACTGGACTCAAAATCAGACTAGGATTAGTACTTGGATAGCGGAGGGGGGAGATCGCATTATATACTTGGTTAGAATGGGAAAATTAAAATATTCTGAAACTGGTGAATCATTTCTAAGGACACTATAATTACGTATCCCAGGGAATTTAGCTAAACTTGTGGGCATTTTTAATTTTGATAGGCTTAAATATCATCAGTGACAATTCATGTTTTTAAAATGTACAAATACTGCAGGTATACCACTTTGGTAATGTCTGGTATTCTTTGCAGCTTATTTTAAGTTTCAGAAAATACACCAAAATCCACTCCAAAGGTTTAATATAGGGATAGAAAATGCAATCCCAACTGTTTTCAAGTGGTATAAACAAACATGCCAGCTATACCTAAATTATAGTCAGTCCTATTTAACAGTAAACTTCTATGCAGTTGTAAACTTACAGCTGGTAAATAAGGAAATTTTAAATGCTCCTCAGAGCTTAATTATCACTTTTAACCAACACATTCTGAAAAGAATGCAGCATTCACCATACATACAGGGCCCTCTTGTGGCTTACTAAAAGACATGCTTTAAAAACCTACCCACACAACTGAGTGGACCTGATTTAGCAAAAATCCCACCAAACCCAATCTATAGTAATTACAATGACAGTACTTTACAAACTGTATTAATTTTAGTGATCACCGCTAGCATGTCATGAAATTGTTGATTCTTAGGGGCCACATAGATTTTAAAGCTTATAAATGTGCAAAAACTCCAATTCCAATTGTAGAAAAATTTCAGCACATTAAGTTTCCTTGTCTATTTTCTTTTTTCTATTCCCTCATTCTGCAATTGTGCTATTTGTCTGCCTATAATCGTGGCTCAGGGTTTGTTTAACAGATTGAGAATGATATTGTTGAAATCATAATATGAGATAACGGAGTTGGTTCTGAAACATCCTTTCTCCATACTGTTCAAAATGCAAAACATAAAAAGGCAGAAAATAAAAAGTTCTGTTCCTTTTTGAAACATATTAAATATTTCCACAGTGTGTAAATTTGAAAAATAATATAAGCATACATTTAAACATACTCCTGGTCTTTTCAGAGAAGCAAACTGAAACAGATCTAGTAATTGCTACCCTCTGAAAATTTTGAGATTTTAATCTTTCATGTATGTGTAACTGGTAAGCTGGGGAAGTTGTAAAAATCTTAGTGCATGAGAATATATGTATGGGTATAATATACAAAGTACACCGTTCATTCAAAAATTCATCCATTCAAGAATGCTGCAAACAAATTCATATACAGCGTAACAATAAAGTGTAACACATTTATCTGTTTTCCCCTTCAAATATAGTTAGGACCTAATGCAGATAGTATATTTGGTTGTCCGTTTTGGTCACCACAATGTAAAAAAAAGATGTTGAGACTCTAGAACACGGGTGTCAAATTCATGACATCACATTGCCGTCACGTGATGTTTCTCCCTTTCACAGAACTGGGGTGGGCATGGCCTGCACATGATGCATCTGGCCAGTGGTCCACCAGTTTGACACCCCTGCTCTAGAAAGAGTGCAGAGAAGAGCAACAAAGATGATTAGGGGACTCTAAAACATGAAGAACAGTTGCTGGAATTGGGTATGTCTAGTTTAATGAGAAGAAGGACTAGGGATCATACGATAGGAGTGTTCCAATCGCAGGGATTGCCACAAAGATGAGGGAGTCAAGCTATTCTCCAAAGCACCTGAGGGCAGGGCAAGAAGCAATGGGTGGAAATTAATCAAGGAGAGAAGCAAGCTAGAACTAAGGAGAAATTTCCTGACAGAACAATTGACCAGCAGAACAACTTACCTCCAGAAGTTATGAATGCTCTAACAGTAAAAGTTTTTTAAGATAGTCTGAAATTTGTCTGAAATGGTGTAGGGTTTCCTGCCTGATCAGGGGGTTGGACTTCAAACCTCCAAGGTCCCTTCCAAATTAAGTTATTCTATATTCTAGGTACCGTACTCTTAATATAAACTATTTTTACTGTCCCTTATTCTGAATGAATAAATGTGTATATTTTCACAGTACTTTGGCAGAAGAGTTGAGGAGAACAGAATCCTTTGCATTCTTTCTAATGCAAAGAACTCTAATACTCTAATTAAGAGTATGAAATCTATTCAACAGGGAAAAATAAAGTTCTGTTATCTACAGGGACATTTATACATGTAGCTATTCGAAGAATGTAACATTACCCTGAAAAACATGATAAATGTACAACCCCCTATTTTATTGAGACAGATGTTTGCATAAATAGCATTAAGACAATTTCAGTCATATCCAGCATACATTTAATGAAATAATTCTCTTTACAATGAAGTTGAAACACTTAATTACACTGGCCATTTCCACTGGTTTTCTGGAGGTTCTTCAACTAAAGGTTCCCAAGGACGGTATTTCAACATTTTCTTAGCTAAGGAAAGTTCATTTTCAGCCTGTTGACAAAATATAGATTTTATTTTAAAACTGTCTGAAAGATGGCACTCCAAAACTAATTTCCATACACAATATAAGTTACTTTCCCAAAATCAAAGAGAACTTAAAATCATAAATCTCATTATCGTGGTTAGCAGACATTGGTGTCATGTTTTTATTGTTTCTAAAGTGTAATGTTTTAACTAGTTACATATTATACTTTTAAAATAATTTTAAAATGATTTTATATGTTTTTTTAATCTTTGTTCGGAAGCTGTCCAGAACTGGCTAAAAGCTGCATGGCTGTATTTGAATAAATTACTTGTTTAAAATAATGATTTGATTGACACCAATTCTTACTGAACAGTTTGTGTAGGAAAAAAAAAATTGCCAGGCCACACTGCTAAGTTTACAAATTCAGTTTAGTGGACATTCTCCCAAAGCTTCTATACTGGATATACTAAATCATTGCTAAATACCTGCTGAATCACTTCTTCTATCTGTCCAGCGTTTAGTTTGTTTTCCAGCCTTCGCACATCAGATTCCTGCAAGTAGTTCAAAAATAAATGAGAAACTTTGTTGCAGCATATTCCTGTATCTTGGTGTTTCTCCTCTCAGCAACTTTAAGGCATGTGGACTTCAACTGGCTGGGAAATTCTGGGAGTTGAAATCCATCTATTGTAAAGTTGCCATGAATCAGAAAAAACAGCTTTGTTACTGAATGAAGAATATTCAATATACTGGCTAACCCTGTAATTCTGCCTTCTCAGAATATGAAAAATAAAAGCTACAGATTCTGGCCATATTCATATACCTTTTCAATTAGCAACTGGTTATCATCTTAGATATGTCATTTAAAAAAAATGAAACACTGTTATTGCTATTTAACTTACTAGTTATAGAACTGTAATTCAACAGAAATGCAGGTTTTTGATTGTTATTCTGATCAGGAGTTGTTAAATTACAATTGTTATATTTTATCAAAGTTCCATGTTTCGATTTTTGATACATTTTTGTGGGAATACTCAGCTATTTCTAAACAATGCAACCCAATGTAATTGAAGCAGTGCAAGATGGATATAGAATTCATATCACTATCCTATACTTGCTGGAATAAGATTCATAAACAACAATGAAATATTACTGTTAATGTTTAGGATTGACGGTGCTTGTTGGAAATAAAGTATTTATCAAATACACATCTCTTTGCAAAAAACAACAATCTGTATTTGCCAAAATGAAGTTGATTCTGAATTTAAGAAAGTCACCTTTTGAGCCTGAAAGCTATGTTGGGTGAAGCTAGTATTTGAAGGTGAATCAATATCAGAATTATAGACTACTCTAGGATTACATCGGCACAGGTATCAAGTCACCAAGAGTTAAGTTCCTTTGAAAAAGACCATGTT